TTTTTTTTATGTTTGCACTATGGGCCCATATAGTTTGTTTTTGAATTTTTTGCTGAATTTTGCACCTAAACTGTCAGCGAAAACAGCGAATTTTCGGCCGTCCGTTAACTGCGTGGGCACTTGACTTCGGGCCTGTGATACATGCTCAGTCGAGCAATGTATATGGAGCCAAGGATCTGCGAAGTGAGGAAAAGGACTCAAATGGACAATGCAGCGTCAGCAAAGCATCAACAAGCAATGTACATCCAGATACATATGACAATAGCATAATGTAGCGCAGCGGAAGACTCAAAGATATGACCTGACCTCAGTGACCTGTCAGATACTGACACATCCCATCCTACACACACATGTGAGAGAGGGAGGAGGGAGCACATACATGGAAGAAAGGTCCCTCCTTGCTCATGCACATGGGGGAGATACCACGGATGAGAGATGGGGGGAGAGGCGAAACGAAGATGGAGGTGAGGGATTTGACCAAGATTGTGATCGCAAGTCCAATAATAGGCTCCCTGCCGAACGTCCAATCAATGTCTGCCACAAAAATGTCGAATCAAATCCTGGGCCTCATGCCCGAAGTAACCCCTGCGTGTAACCTCTCTCTCTGTGATACATGCTCAGTCGAGCAATGTATGGGGAGCCAAGGATCCGCAAAGTGATGAAAAGGACTCAAATGGACAATGCAATGTCAGCAAAGCATCACATCCAGATACATACAAAAGTAGCACACTGTAGCGCAGAGGAAGACTCAAAGATATGTCCTGACCTGTCTGATACTGACGCGACATCCCATCATACACCGAACATGTGAGAGAGGGAGGAGGGACCGCATACACAGAAGAAAGTTCCCTCCTTGCACACGCACATGGGGGGAGATACCACGAATGAGAGATGGGGGAAGAGGCGAGACGAAGATGGAGGCGAGGGAGAAGACCAAGATCGCGACAGCGAAGTGCAAAAGTAGTCCCCTGCCGAATGTCCAATCAATGTCTGCCACAAAAAATGTTGGATCAGATCCTGGGCACAATGCCCGATGTAACCTCTGCCAGACACCTCTCTCTCTCTCTCTGAAAGAAGAAGAAGAAGAAGAAGAAGAAGAAGAAGAAGAAGAAGAAGAAGGTAGGAGGGAGGAGAGATGGAGATGAAGAAGAAGAAGAAGATGTCGTCCTCCTCTCGTTCTCACCTGCAGGTAATCGCCGCCATGGACTGATCGTCGTCGTCGTCGTTGTCATGCGGAGGTCACCGACGTGGAGCCCATCTATTGCGCCAGGTAAGTATTGTCGGTGCAGGTATGGCCTCCGCCCTCTCTGCCTACGTACTCCTCTACCTCTACTCCAGTGTAGCGCTGGTCCAGAAGCGTGTCGCCCAAGAAGTACTTACCGACATGTGCCCCAAACGTGTGCCCAAAACGTGGGCCTACAGGGTCTGGGTCCCGACCAGACGTCCAGACCCTGTACCTGAACAGGGGAGGCCTGCCTCCTGGTGTACCCAGCCCAAGGCACTGCCTTGGGGACTGCAAGTCCGAAACGACGTCTGAACAGACAAAAATAGGACAGCAAATAAATAAATAAATGAATGAATGAATGCTGTCTCAGACCGATACCTGCGGCCTAAGGGCTGCCGTGGGCCTCCAGGGCGCGCGTCCGAAGGGCGTGCGGCCTGGGGGTCCCTCAGCAATTGTTGGGCTCCTGAAATGGGGCTCGTGTGCTGGCTCAGCATGTAACACTCTCTCTCTGAAAGAAGAAGAAGAAGAAGAAGAAGAAAGGAGGGAGAAGAGATGGAGGGCGAGATGACAACGAAGAAGAAGATGTCGTCCTCCTCGCTGTCTCACCTGCAGGTAACTGCTGCCATGTACTGACTGGAGTGCGGCTATGGCGCATGTAAGTACCGCCGATGCAGGTATGGCCTCCGCCCCTCTGCCTACCTACGCCTCTACCTCTACCTCCTCGTGTAGCGCTGTAGTGTCACAGCACTGCTCCAGCAGCGTGTCGCTCAAGAAATGAGCTACTCGAAGTGTGTGTCTGCCCTGGCCTGGCCCAGCTACTTGTAGTGCCTGGCCTCGCTGGTGTGCCTGCGCGTGCCTCGGGTCCTGGCCTCAAGGGTGGCCTACCTGGGTGCAGGGAGCGTCCACTACCGGACAAAAGCGGACCTGTCCCAAAAAGGGCCTCTGCCTATGTCCGTACAAGGCCCAAGGTGCGGCCTTTGTACGAACATACCGAAGGTCTGTTCGGACGAACTGCAAGTCCGAAACGACGCCTGAACAGACAAAAATAGGACAGCAAATTAATAAATAAGTAAATGAATGCTGCCTCAAATCGGATCCTGCGGCCTAAGGGCCAGCCGTGGGCCTCCAGGGGGCGTGTCCAAAGGGCGTGCGGCCTGGGGGCGCCCAGCAACCGTCGGGCCCCCAGAATGGGGCCCGTGTGCAGGCTCAGCATGTTACACCTGGGCTGGTAGTGAAAGCGGCAGGCCACTTCGAAAGGACGAAGTTGCAGCCTAGCAAGTTCTTTAGATCTAGGTCTGTGCACCTTTTGCGGGAAAGTCTCTCTCCAGATTCTGATTACCGTTGTCCAATACAGTAAGGGAGCAGGGTTTCCTAACATTGGGAAACCCCTTCGACGTTTCTTTCTTCCAGTTTTCAGGCTCCGATCTTTGTTCATTACCCAGAGCAGACCTGACATGTTTGTTGCAATGGGGCTAGAATAGGAGTTAGACGTCTCAGGCTGTCTCTGGCTAGGTTCCCCCAGGGTAGGTCTTGTTTAGGAGAAGTTTAAGAATCCATTTGATCTGTAGTGCCTTTGTTTCCTGTTTGGGACCTTTGGGTTCATAATTCTTTCTCCTGCGGGTTTGTGTATGGTGTAATGCCAAGCGGTTTTTGGAATATAAGATCTCCTGACCTTAAGTAGGCTCAAGCTCGCTGGTTGAGCTGTGAAAGTATCTTGCACAGGACTATCCAGATTGATGCTATATACCATAGTATTGAGAAGACTGACGCATTGATAGCTACTGCCCTGTGTAAGAGAGAAGTGAAGGTTTCTCCCAATCTCCCCACTCTGTTAATTGCTTTAGAGAGAAAATTCCCGGCCATCTCTGGTGACAGGTCGTCCTTTAGATCCCCAGGTATCTCATTGATGACTCTGTTTTCTGAACTTTTCTCCCAGGTGATTTGGTTCTCTGGACCTTCGATTTGAGGAAGGTTATCATCTGATGTCATCTGATAGCCACCATCCCGCTTTTTTGGCCCAATTTGCTCTGCATGCCCGCCTCAGATGGTGTACTATTCTTTCACCTTTATCCTAGCTTTCTACCAAGACTCAAATTCAGTCTTTTCTTCGGATCGTGAGTTGTTTTGCTCTTTGCATTTCCCAAGCCTGGAATTTCAAATTTTGTACACAATTCAGAAATGCTGTTTTTCAAACTTTTTTTTCGCTTGCAATTTTCCCCCTAGCTCAATACCTTCCTGCCTCTCATCCAGTGGTCATTGTCATTTGTTGTGCTACTGCAGGGATGGTGTGAGCGAAAGCCAGTTCAACCAGGTTGTGAAGTATGAGCTTGATGCTCTTGAACAGGTCAGACTCTTTGTTTTCATTTGGTTATAGTATTATGTTTGCTTAGAGCTTTGTAGGATATGATTGTGAGGGGCGTCTCAGCTTTCCAGTCGTAGATGCCGCATTGCGAGCTCTTGTTGAATGCTCGTCTGCATGGCTGAAACTTGAAGTACGGGCCTTTTCAACTGGCATTGTTTGTTCAACACATTTGTTTTTTTTCCTGGAGTTGTGTTCTGATGCATCTGCTGACATTTTCTGAAATCCTGTCTATGTTTTGGGTCATCTGATATGTTTTGTGTTCTGGAGTGATTTTGTGGTTGTTTAATGTGGCTAGCATGCACATTGCCACCATTGTGCGGGAAATTGGGATGTGCTGGCCATTTGATGTGTTGGATCGTGCAATTTGAGGCTTCGGATGTGTTTTGGGGTTGAGCATTGCCAGAGCTGCAATCGACGATGAAACAGCCTGACAGCCTTGGAAAGCCTCACGCCACCCTCTGTGAATCATGGAACAACTTTTTTTTGTGGGGTTTGTTTTTGACTGAAAACTGAGTCGTCCGTATATCCAGATGACCTGAGATTCGGCCTTCTAGCCGTCGGATCGACTAAACTATCGCACAAATGGGATGCACTGTATGAAACCTGCCCCAGCACCTAATGATGGACCTGTGGAACATGGACATGAACACTCTGGCGATGGTGGGGTCGACGTCCTGTATCTCTCTCCAGCACTCACCTTGTGCTTCGGCCTGCCCTTGACACTCTTTCCTCCACACTCTTCTCGTCTATATCCCCCACTCCGTTGTGGACACGGGGACCTCGTGATGCGCGGCCAAACGACACAAATAAGAGTGAAATCCACCCTCTTCTTCACTCTCTCCCTCGCCCTATCCTCTGCTGTCCCTCCACTTTCTGGTCATGGAAAGCCTCACGCCACCCTCTGTGAATCATGGAACAGCCTTGTTCTTTTGGTTTGTTCTTGGCTCGTCCATATATCCAGGCGACCTGAGATTCGACCTTCTAGCCGTTGATCTGCCAAACTATCGCACAAATGGGATGCACTGTATGAAGCCTGCCCCAGCACCTAATGATGGACCTCTGGAACATGGACATGAATGCTCTGTCAATGGTGGGGCAGATGCCCTGTATCTCTCTCCAGCACTCACCTCGTGCTTCGGCCTGCCCTTGACAACCCCTGTTCTCCACTCTCTCCTCCACACTCTCCTCGTCTCTATCCCCCACTCTGTTGTGGACACGGGGACCTCGTGATGTGGCCCCATGACACGAATAGCAGTGAAATCCACCCTCCTCTTTACTCTCTCCCTCGCCCTATCCTCTACTGTCCCTCCACTTTCTGGTCCTCTCTGTCCATCGTCTCTCCTCCATCGCTCTCCCCCACCTGCTCCCTAGTGGATGCAGGCGGCCCTCGAGAGTCTGTGCCGGACACAGTTGCGCATAGCTGGTCATGATAGTCAGGTCGTACGTCCTTGGAGCCTCCATGCCATGAGCTCTCTCCTCCATGCGAGCCCTCTTCCCCCCCCCCCCAACTGTGAGTGTTCCTGTGAAACTCTCACCTCGTCCTTTAACTCTGCCCTCTCCTCCTCAGTGCTCCTATCTCTAACTTCTTTCCTTTACATGACACTGATATTGTGCAACGTGCTGCATGTGCCATGCATGTTAGCAGAGGTTTGCTGTAGCATATCAGGAAGTGAAATGCACCGAGAGCCTAAGATCTAGCAATTGAAACGGTATTCACCAGTTCGAAGTAGCTGATGTAGGACCCAGGGTTCGATCCCTAGTACCCCAACTTACCTGTGTACAATATCTGTGACAACTTGAAGAATTGAMCCTGCGMCCTGTAGAACCGCCAGTGGTAAGTAGGTCTGTCGTAGGTCTTTAGGTAGCCAGGATTTGATCCATAGACCTGTAGAGTAGAAGTCCAGCTGCAGTCCTTCT